GTGATTACAGAGAACAATAACGACGACTCTACGTCCGTCACATTAAACCGCAAGTTTTTTTTACGTTGGTGTTGTTGTTGATTGAAAGACAATGACCATCCCTCCGAACCATAGCGATCATGTTGTCAGGAGGGCTGCTAGGTGAAAAGCTTTGTTTCAGTTGTTTGAATTATTTACTATTTGATGTGCACCCCGTCGCTTTTTCATTGAAAAGTAATTTCAGAAGCTATGGGGCATTACTTTTCAAGGGCGGTGCATACAGCTACCTCCATCTGTCACATGAACTGTTCTTCCAATTGCTTAAACGACTTGTCACCCTTATGTGGTGATCACGGCAAGACAATATGACTAATTGTTTTGTAGTTATGCACACAAAGGAGGTCTCAGAAACAACCAGTACAGAAAAATAGATTGTTTAAATCAAATTGAAGCTCAAGTGTAGCCTTCCAGTTGTCAGTCTGAGGGAGGGCATGAAATTAGTGCGCATGGACTTACAGAAGTCATTGTGGTCTCCATCGCACAGGAGAGGAGTCGGTCTCATGACCTCACAGACGCCTGATCGATGTATGACCTCTCATTGAACGACATGAGGGCGGCACACACTGTCCCCCACGCACACTCTGTTGGAGGTCATAGTACAAATGAAGTTGGACTAAGTGGTGACTTATCACTACGTCTAGGAGATTACGCTTGGTAGAAATTTGTGCTGAGGGGGAAGGATCTCAAAGTTTCCTGAGCACCTTCAGTTGGCATTCGACAACCCTTGGGACAAAATTCGATTCCACATTACATGCATGGAGGCACCTGCCCACCGTCGCACTTGCATTTCAAGCGGAGAAAGGAGAGGTCAATCAATAAGTCCTCACCAGCTTTGAATGTCCGTTCACGTGGTCAAAGTTCACTTGTCAAGTTGACACGATGTCGGAAACAGCCGAGATGCGATCGTTCACTTCAGGGCTGAATGACCTGGAAGGTTATACAGAATATGACGAGGAGGAAGAGGAGTATATTGAAGAAGGGAGTAGTAATGACGAGGAGGGCGAGGAGGAGGGCAAAGGCGAGGTAATGCAGAACGAGGAGTCACAATTCCTCGATCCCACCTACCTAAACAATCAAGTTTTCTATCGTGATCTTCCTCCAAATCTGACCCCTGCCATGCTTCGAAGAATCATATCAGTCGAGTTAGAACGCCTAAAAGGCATGAAACAGTCAGAGTTTGTGGAAAAAATGGAGGAGTTGAAGCATCTTCATACCCAAATCTACGAGGCAGCTGATAGATTTATCAAACAAGTGGTCTCCCAAATCCCCTTCATTACACCAATTTTCAAGCATGTGAGTGAATACGATCAACAAGCATGTGATAAAGTTCTTGCTGCCACTGACGAGGAATGGGATAGCGCTGGAATTTCTCCCGAAGGTAAATGTTTTTTTTTTGATAGTAACTCCATTCATTAACT